TACCTCACAGCTTCACCCCACAGATTTCCAAGCTCCTAGGTGGCAAAGCTCCTAGCTCCCCACATGCCAGCTCCTAGGTGGCAAAATTCGTACTAAAAAATGCTTACAGGTTCCTAGACCACACAGAGGTTTTCATGTTTGGATGAGATTTGCTCTTACTGGTGAGGCAGGGTGGCCCTGAGATAAAAGAAAGCACTTCCCAATACCTTGATTTTCAGTGGCTTCATGCATTTAGAGAAGACTTTCCTCTTTTTCTCTCTTTTTTTTTTTTTTTTTTCAATTTTGTTTCCATCCCTGTGAAGAAGATAACAAAGGATAGTATGTCCCCAGAGCACACTGATGTGCCACTGTGGATGCCAATCCCCACAGACGCTCCTGATGTTATTAATTTTTAAAACAAACTTGCTGATTGAGGTTCTGACTGCCTTTAAATTGTCTCTACAAGGAGACTGTGTACTAATTAACCCACAGAAACAATCAATGATGTACCTTTTTCAAGTTTCAGGGTGATTAGAATATGAAAATGAAGAGCACAATGGTGCAGATGTTTTAAAATCACAGCAGACAGCAATTAGTGACATGGGAACCAGCTGCTTATCTCTCCAGATAAAGCCTCTTAATAGGGAATTACACTTGAGGAGCCATTACACAGATGGATCTGCGAATGATTTAAAGAGGGGGCGTTGTAGTATTAACTTTGATTTGCAAGCCAGATTCTTGACAAGCTTTATGTGTGTTACCTCCTAAAAAAGGTGCATTTGGAGTAGGAGGGAACGATCCCCCTAAGCACTCAGATTTTTTTTTTTTCAGGTGTTAGGTTCCTCTAAATATATAGTTTATCATAATTATTTTTTTTAATTTGGATTTTTTAAAAAATAATTGTTATTATTTTAATAGGCTGTTGATTTTGTTGCTGTCACCTCCTCCCAGTTTTTGCATTTGGATTGGAAGCAGCATGTGGGTTTAGACAGAAGCTCAGTCAAGAGAGCAAGTACACAGACTGAAGCATCCTAAAAGAGTCCCTGAGGGATGGATTCTGCTGCTGGGTACTACTTGCAGAGTAGGATGCTGCCCCTCATGGGACTGGTACAGCATCATCTCCTCAGCTGCAAGGGCAACATACCAGAATAAAACTGTTCTGGGGAGTAATCACACCTGCAGGTGCAGGGTTGCACAGGATGGGAGGGACAGGTAATAAATATATGCTGTATAAATATGCAGCATAAAACTTCTTCTTATCTATGACCAGTGATCACCAGTGAATGGGATCTATCCTGCTCACAGGTCCACTCACCACTGCCAAAGCTGAGGCCTGAAACTCATGAGTTTGTCATTCAGATCTTGTTCTACTAATAAGAGGATTCTAATCTTACAGTCTAAGGTTTAGCATGTGTTGGATCAGGTTGCTCAAGCTTTTTTGCAGTTACAAAAGCTATAATCTTCTTTATGTGTATTCTATTTTCTTTAAAGAACAATTGGGATTATTTAAACTACTAAAAACATCCAGTAAACTGTATATGAAGAGAAATATTGACCAAGTATTCTGAGTTGTAGTAAAATTACATTAATTAATTTACACTTCTACTTCCACAAAAGAAGAAGGAGCAAATTCTCAGTGCGGAATGCTTGGCTGTGGAAGAAAATCCCATTTAATGAAAGGGCAAATGACAAGCAGAGGCTGGTGCTGAAGTTTGAAGCATTTTTAGGGTCTCATAAACCAATAAGTAAATAAAGATAAATCCTTCTGTTTTCATGAAAAAAAGCCCACTATTCTTTATGCTGGTCTCAGCTGGCTGCTATAGGAACTCTATTCAAGTCAACAGCCCCATGGAGCTGGAGTATATTGCATACTTATTGACAAATAAAGCAAAGAATTTGGGTGAAAGGTATCAAGATATAAGTTTCTTAAGATTCCCTCACCATCCTAACAGGTCTGACATCTCTGCCAGATGAGCAGAGTCTTGGCTTAGCTGAGCTAGGCTTCCTTGGCTTTTTGGGATGGTGCTTATGCAGCAGGGAAAATTGAAGCCTAAATATTAGGACCAATGGGGGTCAAACAGCAACCCAGATGAATACAGGGGGAATAAAATATACTTGGCAGCATCACTTTCAACTGATTTAGTAGTGCTTTTGGGTAAAGAGTCCTCACGTATCCATTGCAGCCACTGAAACCCAGCCTGCTGCAGCCAAATCATCTCTAGTCACTGTGCTGCAGAAGAATTATTTTTGGGTGGTATGGATGTGTCTGGCAAGGCAGAGCAAATAAATGTCACGCTGGAAGAAGTTTCATGAGGAAACCCAGCAGACTGTAATGTGCTTGGGCAGATATATAGTTCTGACATCCCACTTAGGAAATGGAGTCCCCTGATCCTGCAGACTGGTCATTTTCTGAAGGCCTGTTGAAATTGGAGTGCTTACCTGGGTGATTAAATGCCTCCAGAGTTGGCACCTTTGATGACATAGGCATATCTTCCTCATGAATTTTAAGATCAATGTGGTGGTGGCCTGTGCTGCTGGAGCAATGTCAGGGCTATCATTAGGGATGTGTTGGGAGTTGCATCATCACTATGCAATGTACAGGACAAGGAAATGAGGCTGGAGGAGCCAAGCCATATATCAGCACTCATCGCTGATCTATAGCTGGCCTCTCCATTCTGAGCCCTTATTAACTGCCTTAAAATACAGATCAGAGATTATTGCTCCTTCTAGGCCATGGATCTCCGTGTGTGTGATAGATATGGAGGGACCAGAGTGGTACCAGAGTGCAATGTTTTTGTTCCTTGCTTAACCCTCCTTCTTATTTTTATCTTTTTTTTCTCTCTCTCTTCCAAATGAAATGTTTCAGGTCATTTAGTTTCACGGCTCAGCACTTGGAAGTAACGTGGGTGTAAGGAGCTGGTTTGGTTGCAGCCAGCAGGCTGGAATCTGTTCAGAAACAGCCTAGCCCTGCCTCAATGTGGGTACTGGGGACAAAAAGAGGCTCAGCTTAGCTTTTCCAGGGCTTCTTCACATCAGGAATTGTGGTACCTCGGGAAGATGGAAGTTTTATGTGAGGCTGGAGTGAAGCACAGCCATCTATCTCCCCCTGGGACATCACCAGGGGATGCCCTGCCCATCTCCTTGTGCCAGGGCACCCAGCCTAGTGGTGGAGAAGCCTGAATGGCCCAGGCAAAATGGATCTCAGGAGCTTTGGGATCAGTTTAAAATAAAATAAAACAAGCTGCAAAACTCCAGTGCTGGTGGTTTCCCTTCCCTGGACCCATCCCAAGATATGGGTGTGGATGGGCCCCCTTTTCTGAAGGAGGGCATCATCGTGGGTTGTGTCCTCTGTGTGCTGCAAGGTTCGTGTGTGGGAAGGCACTGTGAGGAAGAGGAGGAGAAGGATTCATTCCCCAAGGGCTGTTTATGCTTTCAGCTCTTTTCTCAGGCTGAGGAAACCGGGTGTCGCTCACCCATGACATCTGCAGCTCCACCACAGCTGCATGCTTTCGTTCTCTCACTCCACAATTCCTGGAAATCTCTGTTTTCCCTGAGCATGGCTGGTCCATGTGCACGACAGCTGAACTATCCACAGGATTTAAGAGTCCCCAATTGCTGCTCAGACAATGGACCAGAACAACTTCGTTATTGACTATTCCAGGAAAGCCACATGTCTATATTTATATGGGCATGAAAGATAGCTCAGCATCAACTTGTCAATAATGTGGCCACTAAATAATGTGCAGTGGGCTTGGGCTTGTCTTGTCCTTTTCAAACTTCTCTGAAGTTGCTCAGAACTAGGGACACCTCATTTCTCAGCCTCATTTCCCTCTTATTCCCTTTTGCCTGCTTGTCCCAAAATTTCTGCTGCAAACACCCCAAAGGGAGATCTAACGGGCTACTGATAGAAACTTAATTGTAACAGAGTGTTTGCAGGAACACAAGACACACAGCAGTTATTAACTACTTTTCTTTCCTTAGTTATGTTTTTATTTTCAGTCTCATAATTTATTTGACATCCACAACAGTGTCAGTAGTTTGTACACCTAATACTGCCTGCAGTCTGACCCAGAGCTTTACAAAATAAAAGCTGTAAAATTAAAAAAAAAAAAAAAAGAAAAAAAAGAAAAAAAGAAAGAAAACAGATCAACCAAAGAAAGTAAAAAACAAATAGATAGATACTTTTACTTTAAAAGGAAAAAGTTACAGCTGAAGTAAACAAAATTTTTTTAGCTGGAGGCCCACCAAGAGAAAAACAGTAGAGTTTCTTTTGCTCTATAAGAGTCTTCAGCATAATTCTGCCCTTGCTGTAACCTCTGCGGCTTGAAGAGCTCCTGTCAGAGTAGAAATCATGTTGAAAATATCTCTCACCAACATTGCAAATAGCAGAGTTTTAAAATGGAAAGGGAGTAATGCAAATCTTGAACCTGCCAAGTGTGCCTCACACACTTGACGCTATGCATATGATTTTAAGCACTAAGTATGTGGGGATGGCTTCCATGTGGAAATTCAAGTAAATCTTCGCAGAATCTGCCTTCATAGAGAAGTAGACCCTTGGGTTTTCCTCTTGTTTGTTACAACTTCCAAGATAATTTTTCAGTTTTCTTGTTTACAATAATGAGTTTAATTGCTGCTGTTGAGCCTCAAGTTCTGTGAGCAATTATTTTTCAGGAAAAAGGCATTCTCACCAGGAGGCTGAGTTGCACCATTCATCCATTGAAAGGGAATATTTCGCTTGTGTTTTAAATTAAAAATCAATAGAATATGTTCCTTTAGCAATTTTGCATTTATAGAAATATTTCCACTGTTTTTAGAGTAGGGAAACCAAACAAAATTTGTTTACTGTGCATGAAATCTAAATGCAAATTTGGCTCAAGTATAGGAAGATTTTATAAAGGTTCCTAACTCTTACAATGGCATTGTTATTATTCACTGCGTAAATAAAGATCTGCAGCCAGTGGTTATGAATGGACTGCTAAACTAATTTTTTCCCCCTCTGTTTATTTTCTGTTCCCTTCCAGGTTTATGACAGGCCACAGAAACATTCTACTCTGCACTATGATCCGGGCCTCCAACAAGACTTCACCAGTGACACCTTAAAATCAAAGCACCAGCAGAAAAGTAGCAACCAGCACCACATTGACTGGTCAGCGAGCTCCGACACCGGACCCGCTTCTCAGAGTTGCTTCATCAACACAGAGCCCAGTAGAGAAGCAATTAGTGCCACCAAGGTCTCTGCTCTGGAGCCAGGAGTTTCCTACAGCAAATCCCAGGCCAAGAAGTCCAGCAGCAGCAGCAGCAGCAGCAGCAGCAGCAGCAGCAGCAGCAGCAGCAGCACGTGGGGGCAGCTGTCGGTCAGTAGTAAGGAGCTGGCGATTTGCAGCGCGGTCCCGTCGCCCAGCGGCATCAGCGCGGCCGCCCAGCCCAGCAGTGCCTCCGAGTGCAATGGGCTTCTGCCTCTTGGAGATCAAGAGGGAGGTGTGCAGCTGGAGGCCCCCGATCAGCCCGCTGCAAGTACGAAGAAGAAGTCCAGCAAAAAGGACTTGATGAGCCAAACCATCCAAACCACGGATATCGAGTGGGTAAAGAGCGCTCAGAAAGCGTTTGACAGCAAATCCCATGACAGCATGGAAGGGAAAAAGGAGTCTTACTCGATGGACAGCATGTTGGATACATCACCCTCGAAGCAGAATCCCATTTCTGCCAGCACTTGTGAAAATGACACCAATCACGTACGAATTACTATCCCAATAAAGTCTCCGACAACAGATGCATCTGGCCACAAAAGGAAAAAGAGGCAATCCATGAAATCCTCCATAGAGAAAACTATCCAGGAGAAAAGCCTGCCCTCCGTGCTTTCTTTGAGCAGTGAAATGGCAAACAGGACCATCAGCTCTCAATCAGAGGGGAGTAAAAAAGATGTTCGAGCCACAAAGCCAGGGAAAGTGATTGAAAATGAGTCCCCCTTAGCAGCTATTGACAGTGGTGTGTTCACGGACAAAGCATCCCCCAACAGTGCAGCCCGACCAAGAAAACCTCTACCTGTGACATCCACTCTCCTACCCACCAGTCTTTCCACAGCTGGCAAATTACCTGACGTCCAGCACCCCAAACATGCAGCTAAGCGTCGGTGGACCTGCAGCAAACCTAAATCTATTATTCGGGAGACCTCCCTGACGACATCTGAGAAGCTGATGGTGGAGCCTCCTTCAGCCTACCCCATCACACCATCCAGCCCTCTGTACACCAACACAGACAGTCTTACTGTGATCACACCTGTCAAGAAAAAAAGGGGACGACCAAAGAAACAGCCTTTGCTCACTGTTGAAACCATTCATGAGGGGACCTCCACCAGCCCAGTGAGTCCAATCAGTCGTGAATTTCCAGGAACAAAGAAAAGGAAGAGAAGAAGGAATCTGGCCAAGTTTGCCCAGATGGTTCCAGGAGAGGACAAGTCCATCAGTGAACTCAAATTTCACAAAAAAGTGGGGAAACTTGGGGTCTTGGATAAGAAGACCATCAAGACCATTAATAAAATGAAAACCCTCAAGAGGAAGAACATTCTCAATCAGATCTTGTCCTCCTGCTCCAGCAACATAGCTCTGAAAGCAAAAGTCCAGCCACCTTCTAGTGCTGGGCCAACCACCATTGATGCCAGGCTAGGGAAGCAGATCAATGTCAGCAAGAGGGGGACTATCTACATTGGTAAAAAACGGGGCAGAAAGCCAAGGGCAGAGCTGCAGCCTCAGCCAGAAGAACCTAAGACAGCCATCAAGCACTCAAGGCCTGTTTCCAGCCAGCCAGAAAACCCAGCAGTGCCTTCCAACCTGCAGTCACTTGTGGCATCGTCACCAGCAGCTATTCATCCGCTTTCAACACAATTAGTGGGGATCAACGGCAACCTCAGCCCTGCAAGCACTGAAACTAATTTTTCAGAGTTAAAAACTATGCCAAATCTTCAACCTATCAGTGCTCTTCCTACAAAAACCCAGAAAGGAATGCACAGTGGAACTTGGAAGCTGTCTCCACCCAGGCTAATGGCTAATTCACCTTCTCACCTCTGTGAAATAGGTTCTCTGAAAGAAGTCACGCTGTCGCCAGTGAGTGAGTCTCACAGCGAGGAAACCATACCAAGTGACAGTGGGATAGGTACAGACAACAACAGCACCTCTGACCAAGCCGAGAAAAGCTCAGAATCCCGCCGGAGATACTCCTTTGATTTCTGCACCCTGGACAATCCAGAGGCTATCCCATCTGACACCAGCACAAAGAACAGGCATGGTCACCGGCAGAAGCATCTCATTGTGGATAACTTTCTCTCTCACGAAAGTATTAAAAAGCCAAAGCACAAGAGGAAAAGGAAAAGCCTGCAGAACAGAGATGACCTCCAGTTTCTGGCAGACCTTGAGGAACTCATCAATAAGTTTCAAGTGTTCAGGATTTCCCATAGAAGTTATACATTTTATCATGAAAACCCATATCCCAGCATCTTCAGGATTAATTTTGATCACTACTACCCTGTGCCATATATCCAGTATGACCCATTGCTCTATCTTCGCAGGACCTCTGATATGAAGTCTAAGAAGAAGCGTGGTAGACCTGCCAAAACCAATGACACCATGACAAAGGTGCCTTTTTTACAAGGGTTCGGTTACCCTATTCCCAGTGGGAGTTACTATGCACCCTATGGAATGCCTTACACATCAATGCCTATGATGAATCTTGGTTACTACGGTCAGTACCCAGCTCCTTTGTACCTGTCTCACACGCTTGGAGCGGCTTCCCCATTTATGAGACCTACCGTGCCCCCACCCCAGTTCCATGCAAGCTCTCATATGAAGATGTCCACCACTGCCAAACACAAAGCAAAACACGGAGTGCACCTACAAACCCCTGTGGGAATGGGCCTTGGAGACATGCAGTCCTCTTTGGCTCCTCCGAAGGTTGGAGGAACAAGCCTTTCAAGTGGCCGACTTCACAAAAGGAAACACAAACATAAGCACAAGCATAAGGACGAGCGGATATTGGGGACTCACGAAGATCTGAGTGGTCTCTTTGCTAGCAAGTCCACTGGCTTCTCCAGCCACGCCATCAACGAGAGGCTGAGTGGCTCAGACAAAGACCTGTCCTTGCTCAACGAGAAGAGCAAGCATAAGGAGAAGCAGAAGCACCAGCATTGTGAAACCGGGCACAAAGGCTCAAAGAGTAACTTTGAAGTGGATACGCTGTCTACGCTATCACTTTCTGATGCCCAGCAGTGGTCACAGAGTAAAGATAAAAGTGACTCAAGCAGTGATCCCATTGACTCTTGCACAAAGAGATACTCTGGTAATACTGAGAGTAATGGAAGGTCAGAGTCCCTGGACATGTTTGGTGAAATGAATTCCTCAAGTGAGAAGCGGGACAATGATGCAAGTGGGAATAAAAGAAGAAGCTTTGAAGGCTTTGGAACTTACAGGGAAAAGGACATTCAGCCCTTCAAGACAAATAGGAAGGACAGAAGTACTTTTGATTCTTCAGCCTCTTCAGGTAAGCTTTGTTTTATTCTATTTTACTTTTGCTATTTACTGCACTAAAATTTCAATGCTCAACAAAGAGAGACTCATCATTTACAGCAAATACATTTATGTGTTCATAACTTCTCTGGCTTTTGTAACTGACTGTCATTCTTCATCCAAACTTAGGGGAGATCAACAAGAAAGTTGGTCACATGCCCAAAGTTTTAAAAGTCTTCAAGCTGTTACACAGCATTTTATAAATATTTGTACTCCTTCACCTATGTCATGGCTTGTTGCACTTCTTTCTAAAATCTGACCACTGCGTTCTGCAATAGCAGCAATTGTAATGCCTGTTGGCAAGGTGGTCGTCCCTCTAATCAGTGTCTAACATGACATGGTCAAAGTCACTGTCCAGCCTTTGGGAAAAGAGCAGAGAGTCTCTGCTCTGGCCCATAAAATGACCAAAACCCATTTGCTGATGGGATGGACCAGACATGTGGGAAGGTGTGAAGCTGTGTCAGTGTCCCATTAATGTGTTCTTCTGCTGATCCAGAGGTATCCACCATGAGTGATGGCTGGGCTGAATATCTGGAGATCCTGGGTACAGTCTTAATGTAAATCTGTCACTTCCAGCTGCAGGTGTCATATAAAATAATTATCCTGAGCATTGAGTGGCTATGGGAAGGGATGGTGTCCAGGAAACAAACACTTGCCAATGGACTCTGAAGAGTTTTAGGTCTCATGACTTGGAAATATACGTTGGGTAGATGAAGAGGGAGGAAGCTCTTTTCGGCTGCTCAGGACATCTTGTTCCTCTCCTGCAGAGTAGGGAAAAAGGGAATCTGAATCTTGCCTGAGAGACTGAATTGTACTTTACAATAGGGAGCTGCTTTTGCGATGACACAGAGGCAGGTGTTTTTGTGCATTATAAATGAATTTAGCTTGGGAGCAAGCCCAGTGCTTCCACACCATCAGATATTTATCACAAAGCGGATTTCACACTTAGTTCTGGAAAGGGGTGAGCTTTGCTGAACCAACCAGTGGTGGATGAGATTCTGATGTGCTAAAAGAGAGTTTCAAAGAAAAGTAGCTGATAGCCTTCAAAATTAAAAGAAAATTAGCTGAGAGCACAGGAGTAGAGAATTTGTATAACTTGCCAATGTAAGGCTCTTTACTGGCTTGTGACTGATCAAGTTCCAAAGACTGCTCATGCTTAAGCCACTTAAACATTTCCAATTCCTTCACCAAGACCAGAATCTGAAATACAGTAGTGAAAAGTAGTCTGAAATGACAGATTACCCCATGAAAACATTCCCATTCATAATATCATATTATATTAGACCAGTTGTGACATCAAAAAATGATACATCCAAAAATATAAGAAAAGAGATTGAAATAAGTCTCTGAGCATCAAAGTTGCAACATGCCTAACAAGGACCAAAGGTATTCTCCACCAAGTGCTGCAGTGGCTATTTCGTTAAAGAAGTTGTGTCCTGGTACATAGGATTAAAAAGCTTAAAAATGTTTAACAATTTTTTAATTTTTTTTTCCTTTTTTTAATGTAAATTCACAGTTTTCACAGTTTGATCACAGCCTTTGCGTTTGTAGACTTTTTGCTCTTTGAACAGAAGATATTTGCTAAATCTGTAATTTTCAATATATTTTACTTAAGGCATAGCAAACTGTCAAAATTCCCAACAGTGCTGAACTCAAATTAGTTTCCAAAGTGGGGGCATGATCCCCACCATGCTGACTTGAAGACAGAATTAGTAAAGAAAAAGTCGATTTCATGTTATTTTCCTTCAGTTCATTCCTCATGAAAATAAACGTATAAGATAGAGGGCTAGAACTTGCCATGGAAGTCCATTAGATTTGCAGTTTAAACTTTTTAAACTAGTTCTTGTTTAAACTGAAGTTATTATTTTTTTAATTTATTTTTGCTCTTCATGTTTACAGCCGCACAGCATTCCATATGACCTAATCCATCAACTCTCAGATTATTAATTTATTTCTTCATTGTAATGCTATTATTTGGATGGAAAAATCATCAGCAGTTAGCTAAGCAGAGCCAGATAACCAGAGCCATACCTTGCACTACAAGGAAAAATACTAAAACTAAACTCTGCCAAGAAAGGCCTGGAGCCAAGACTGCTCATTAAAGCCTAGGAACATCTGTCTGTTTATGACTGCCTAGGATCTCAGTGCAGCTTTTTTTCCTCTCTGAATTTGACCTTCGCTGGGATTCCCAGCAGAGGTCTGCACTCGAGTCTAGCCATAACTATTTAACCAGTCCCACAGAGGGAGGGTTACTCTCTTCCATGATAACCTTCACCTTCTTCCTCCTAACTCACCTTGCTTTTCCCTGAGGAGGTTAAACAAAGATTAACTAATCAGGAAAAAATAAAAGGTAAAAGAAAAAAAAAAAAAAAAAAAAAGCTGTATGAGGACATATATGTCTGTCCCAGGAGGCAACATCCATAGTCTGATTGCTTTGTCCTTTCAATATGTGTCATCTTTCACAAGTTAAAAATAATATATAACAGAGATAAGAGCAGACATCCTGAATATTCTGATGAAAGCTGAAATTAGATTTATATCACAATTTCAGTGTTATCTCTACTGCATTGGCATTTTGGTGTGCTCTGGACTGCCATTTGCAACTTCATTTAATTCTTCTGGAGATAAAATGCTTAGCAAAAACTACCCACACAGTGAATATACCTATGATGAGAGGGATGAGAGAATCATTTACTGTTCTTTGGTGATTCAGACACTGCACTTTGTTTCAGTGTGGTGTGCAGCTGCAGGTATTGTTGTTAATTTATGTTTTTGTCTGTGTTGTGACAGCACATATCAATTTCTGAGAAGTTTGGTGTTCCTTGGTGATAGATGTGGTCCTGCTTATGGTAGAAAACAGTCCTGTTGTACAGTCTTGAAGCCTAGGTATGATTTTACTCTCTAGAAAGATATAGGCCATAAAAGGAAGAGTTGTCCTTCTTATGTTTTGGAGAGGCTGGTTGCAGTCCTGGCACAAGAAAGGTGTATGGCACAGGTTAACCAGAGAAATTATGGATGCCCCATTCCTGGAATTGTTCAGGGACTGGGTTGAGGCTTGAGTACTTGGGCTAATGTAAGGTGTCCCAGCTCAACCCAAGAAATTTGGAAATAGATGACCTTTAAAGGTCTTTTCCAACCAAACTATTCCATGATTCTGTGATTGGATGTAGAGATCTGTGCCCAAGGTGAATGGACCCATAGAAGGAATGTCACCAGTTACTTTGGTTGGTCACAGCAAAAGCCAGCTTCTTGTCCTGCATCAACCAGGACTATCACTGGCCATTCTTTAGTGGACACCATGTGGCCTTTGAGTCAGCATACAGTTTTGGGACCACTTTGGGTTAAATTTGCAATATTAGTGTATATGGCTAATTTCCCAGCAGCCTGACTGCTTCTACACTATTGTTCTGGAGAAGCTAGTGTTCCTTCCATGATAACAAATCAATAACTCTTCCCATCTACTCCTCATGACCTGTTTCATCCTGATATCTTTTTCTGAAATTGTTATTTTTATTAAGTTTCTTGTGCTCATCTAACCCTCCTGCATTTGGAAAGACTAATTAATCAAAACTAATTTAACAATGCTTTTCTATTTAGCCAAAGACTACTCCAGTGGCATTAGCCTGGCCTACAGGCAAGAATAAGGCAGAAAGTGTTTCAAATCCTGCCTTGCCACTGGCACTTGGGCACATCCTAGACTGAGCTGTCAAGATGTGTGCACCAGGCATTGGCTCAGGCCACTCCTTCCTTCCCACAGTCAGAAGTGTACCTCAGCTTGCAAAACAGTCTTGGAGTCCCTCTGGCACGGTGTGACCTGAGGCACTGTGCACAGCTGGATGGCTGAGCCTTTCATCTGCTTTCCAGGTGTTACTCAAGCCCCAGGTGAGGGACCCAGGGAGAGGTCACAGATTGGTGCTGCAGCTGGGCTGGGGAGACTGAGAATAGAGTTGTTTTAAAGAGGCCCACGTGGCAAACTCCACATCTCCTTGTGATGTGTCTGCCAGTTTCATGGTGCTGGAGAAGAGACTCCCATTGCTGATGAGCAGTCTCAATGCCATAGCTTGTGCCACAGGAAAAAAGTAACATTGTTTTTCTCTTACCTTTTTCCTTAGGTGGAATAATGAGGAAAAGCACATTTAACCTTTTAAGGTGCATAGATAAGATGGGGATTTGCATGTACAACCTGTCAGATTATGTCCTAGTTACAATCACTGCAGGCCAGGATGTAGCTGGAGGTGGAGCAGAGGTTGAGAGTTGCTATATGCAGGGTTGCATTTCTGCTTTTCTTTGTCGTGAGACTAATCAAGGTCTGTGCTACCTTACTGTCACATAATTTCTGCCTTCTGTTTTTTTTTTTAAACAATGATTATATGGATAAAGATTGCCTTGCTTGTGCTGGGTATCATGGCTCAAAGATCAGCTAGGAAGTACATTGGTTTAATCAGATATAGCACAGACACCATGCATAGTATATTTACAGGAATATAAAGTTAATCATATGCAGCTATTAGGAAAGCAGTAATCATCAGTCTCTGAATGCTGGATAGCTAGCATGATAAACATGCTTTATAAATTAATGCTTAACTTACCTACAAGCCTCCCAGACCTTCCCCCCTCATTGTCCAGCAATGCTACAAGCTGAATTTCTTCTGATTTGAATTTCTGACTTGACCTTTCCTCCCCACTTGTTTTGTTCAGTGCTGGTTTTACTCTTGAAGGAATCAGTATCAGCTTTAGCCTTGATCAGTCACAGTTTTACACTGAGAAGGGATCAGTATCTCAGTAGTGGATAAGCATATTTACTCTAAATGTATATGGCAGATGTAGGTAAATAGTGTTAGCCAATTACCTTATTAATTAAACTTTCCTGATTTTTTGTACAATAATACTTTCCACAAATAATTTATTACTTTACATAGGTCTGGAATCACAATGTTGGTTCATTATTCTTCTGTGAACACACTATTTCAGTGA